CTAACATATCATAATCTAACCTAACCTATCGTAGTATAACCTAACCTAACCTAACATAATATAACCTAACCTAACCTAAACAATTCTACGTGTAAGGTGAACCACAGGACAGACGGTGAGTGCTCTGTTCACACGGCCACCTCAGCTCCTTTTGTGGCCGTACTACAGTAATGTTCACAGTCTATTTTTCTGTTGATTTCTTTTTCCAGAGTTGCCCGTCAATTACATCACGCTAATCGTAGGAAACACCTTTTTTGCCCCACCCAGGACGCCATTAACAAATATCTGCAGGTGACAGAAGACCGGGGGGTAGGGCAAGGTTTACCTCCTTATATAATTATATAGTGATTACCGAACAGTCTTTTTTATCATTTGTAAAACTGTATACTCTCTCTCTCTCTCTCTCTCTCTCTCTCTCTCTCTCTCTCTCTCTCTCTCTCTCTCTCTCTCAAATAAATATTAATGCAAAGACTAATCAACAATGGACTAAGCACAAACTTAAATCCTCCCATAATGTAACTGAGAATTAATGAATTAAGGACATCAAAGAAACCAGTAGATGATGAAGATAAACACGAACACACCGGACAGGACAGAATCTCGCAGCAAATTATATACACTTCGTAAAACTTTAATGCGCGAGTTTCTTTGGTTGTGGGGGGGTCACTTGAATATTTTTATAGTTTGAGTGATGCAAAGTAGTTTTTACAGTACATGGGTTTGATACACTGTTATTATACTGTATTTTTTTTTTCATTGAAGAAATATTTTCGTTCTAGAATTATTTTCTCGGAAACTGTGCTAGATGAGACAAAAATTATAATGATGATAATTATTATCGTGTTACATTACCTCAGGGTGTCTGCCGCGCCGCCCTGTTTACGTAGCGGCTCTCCACCCTCTCCCTCACCTAGTGCTGCTCCACCAACACGCCTTCCTTATCACCTCCCTCAACACCTCTCCTAACACCTCCAACACCTTCCTCAAAGTCTCCCTCAATGCCTCCCTTATCACCTCCCTCAACACCTCTCCTAACACCTCCAACACCTTCCTCAAAGTCTCCCTCAATGTCTCCCTTATCACCTCCCTCAACACCTCTCCTAACACCTCCAACACCTTCCTCAAAGTCTCCCTCAATGTCTCCCTTATCACCTCCCTCAACACCTCTTCTAACACCTCCAACACCTTCTTCAAAGTCTCCCTCAACGACTCCCTCGATTATATACCGTAGGCTTGTATCACACATTGTCTAACCTGCCAGATTAAACAAAATACTGCAAAGGCCGTGTATCAGAACAGGTAATAGCAGGTGTACAGACAGTGTTAATTAATGATCTGTTTTCTCCTCCCGTTAATGGCTCCGACTTGTGTGCTTTGAGACGTGACGAGATTAATGACTATATCTCCGTTACCTGAGGTATTATTATTATTATTATTATTATTATTATTATTATTATTATTATTATTATTATTATTATTATTATTATTTATTATTTATTATTTATTATTATTATTATTATTATTATTATTATTATTATTATTATTATTATTATTATTACCCGTGAATATAAAAAGAGGAAATTCTTGTCCTACTTTTTTCCTTTAATTTCGTTTAGCAGGATAGTACTTAATAATGGTTGCCCCTCGTTTAACGACGATGGCCGGCCCAAGGGCCACCTACAATAGGCGTGAATTTGATTAAGGTGTAGAAGCTGTCGCCAACACAACAACCACACCCTGAGTTAACAAGTTGCATGACCCAGTGTCAAGGAATAGTCCGAGAAGACCGGACAACACGCCAACTGCACTGGCTAACCATTACCCCGGAACACGATCCGGAAATCGATTAACTTCCACGTTCCTAATTACTGCTGGGTAGACAGAGGCAAATGGCGTAAAGAAACTTGCCCATAGTTTCAAGCTGCCCGGGGATCGAACCCGGATCCACTGACGTGTGAGGCGAACATACTGACCAATGACCATTACGTCACAGGTCGTACTTTTACACACACACACACACACACACACACACACACACACACACCATATTTCATTTCACTGTGCATTCCTTATATAAAAATTGGCTACTGACTACGAATTACATACTGTAAATTATTCTATATTTCGAAGGTTTTGACATAGCTCCTCGTGGACCAAGACTGAAGACAGGAATAAAAAAACATAAAAAAACATTAACATTTCCTGCGCTTTATTACCTTAATGATTAAACCTACAATGTGAAATTTTAATAACGAAAACGAAAAAAAAAAGGGAAAAAATAAAGGAAATTCAGGTGAGCGCGCAATCCATTTTTGCTGACCCGAATAAATCATTTGATAACATTTAATTTATTTCATTTGTGGAAAGAAATGTCTATACAGCAGCCATTTTTTACCTACATTAGCGCGTCTCCCGATAATGAGTTGTGTGACGTGAAAATACAACACAAAATAATAAAGTAACACACTGTAAAGGAAAACAATACCAAGTACAGTAATTTATAACAATAAAATACAATATAACCAAACATAATATGTAATGAAATAAGACATAACGCAATGCAATAAAATCCCAGGGAACACAATTCAATGGAACACAATTCAATGGAACACAATTCAATGGAACACAATTCAATGGAACACAATTCAATGCAATACAAAAACAGCACGATACACCGCGATTCACTGTATATATAAAATTTAACACAGCGTTATACATAACACTAAAACGTAAAAAATTATGTTACGGAACGATATAACATAATGCCCTCAAAAAACACTTAACTGTGGAATATGATGTGATGTAATTACAGAAACCATATTAAGTTCTAATGCATTTCAGAACACTGTACTACGGTTTAATACAACATAGAACACTGTACTACGGTTTAATACAACATAGAACACTGTACTACGGTTTAATACAACATAGAACACTGTACTACGGTTTAATACAACATAGAACACTGTACTACGGTTTAATACAACATAGAACACTGTACTACGGTTTAATACAACATAGAACATTGTACTACGGTTTAATACAACATAGAACACTGTACTACGGTTTAATACAACATAGAACACTGTACTACGGTTTAATACAACATAGAACACTGTACTACGGTTTAATACAACATAGAACACTGTACTACGGTTTAATACAACATAGAACACTGTACTACGGTTTAATACAACATAGAACACTGTACTACGGTTTAATACAACATAGAACACTGTACTACGGTTTAATACAACATAAAACACTGTACTACGGTTTAATACAATATAGAACAGTGCACTACAGTTTAATACAAGATAAAACAGTGTACTAATTATCAAAATCAATAATATTTAAAATGCTGGTTCATTTGTACAACCAAAATATGAATTATCACTTAACAATGATGGTACTATATGTCTGACAATAATTCATCCGCGTATCCCCCCCCCCCCAAAAAAAAAGTCCGAGTTATTAATTATTGGTGTTGACAGTTATTGATAAAAACAATAATAAAAGTATTCTTAATGGCGACAGAATAGTTATAATTCCAAACACTTATTCTATCCATCAACACTTGACCTTGTTGCCACTTGAAATTACGTTTAAATAATCTTTTCTTTAATACTGCAGCTTTATCTAATACCTTACACAAATTAATAAAAAGGTTTGAAAAAAAAAACGTAAAGTTTGAAAGTATTAAAAGGTTTAGGGAAAAAAAAATAATTCCACATGTGATTCCCAAACTGAGAATTATGGACAAATTCCTAATGTGTATATAAGAAGAAATTTGGGTTGTATTTTGAGAAAGCAGTGGTAAGAATTTTTTGTGCATGTCTCGTGGCACAAACTTTCCTCATTAGCACATTTCACTTTAACGGGGTAAAAGCATAATGCCTCTTTGGCGTGGATGATAATGACGAGCCCTAAGATGTGTATCAGTGTTAACAAAGAGATATGTGAGGGTAGGTGGTGGTGGTAATGGTGGTTGTAGTAGGTGTAGGTGGTGGTGGTAGTGGGGGGTGGTGGTGGTGGTAGTGAGTGGTGGTGTAGTAGTGAGTGGTGGTGGTAGTGGATGGTGGTGGTGGTAGTAGGTGGTGGTAGGAGTGGTGGTGGTAGTGAGTGGTGGTGGTAGGTGGTGGTGGTGGTAGTGGGGTGGTGGTGGTGGTGGTAGTGGGTGGTGGTGGTGTAGTGGGTGGTGGTGGTGGTAGTGAGTGGTGGTGGTAGTGAGTGGTGGTGGTAGTGAGTGGTGGTGGTAGTGAGTGGTGGTGGTAGTGGGTGGTGGTGGTGGTGGTGGTGGTGGTGATAGTGAGTGGTGGTGGTAGTGGGTGGTGATGGTAGTGGGTGATGGTGGTAGTAGTATTGTGTCGTCCAGTGGTAGGTTAGGCATGAGAGATATATATATATACCCTCGCATATTCTTGTCTCTGGAAAACATTTCAACTGTTTTTAGATTCAGTCGTTAGAGAGAAAGTTACGCCATCTGCTCGGGAGTTTCTTAAGTATGATGAAGTTCACAAATACTTTTTTCATCTCCCTATAGACGGTGAAGTCATGGGATGGATCTTTTCAGGAATAGCTAAGTTCTATGGCCAAGGTATGAGGAGTCAACAGATGTGATAGCTCAGGGTTTGATGATGATGATGATGATGATGATTGAGCTGATGGCAGACGTGGGTGGTAACAGCAGCAGTGAGTACTGACAGCTGGGACCAATAACAATGGATGGTGAAGTAAGGGGGGCAATAACAATGAATGGTGGCAGTAGGGGGCAATAACAATGAATGGTGACAGTAGGGGCAATAGCAATGGATGGTGGTGGCAGTAGTAGGTGGCAGCCAAGGATGGCGGTGGTGGTTGCAGTAAATGATAGTAGTAGTAGTTGGTGGTAGTGGTAGCATTGGGTGGCAGTGGGTGGAGGCAGCAGCGGTGTGGGTGGTGGTGATGGTGGTAGGGGTGGCGGCGGCGAGCCTGGAGTGTGCTGAAGGTCTGGAGGCCGCGGAACCATCAGTATCCCTCAGCCAGCCAACGGTGGAGGTCGGTCGCTCCAGCCTTACCGTCGCTCTCTTTCGTGTTAATCTCACCTGTGATTACCTGTATCCCCCTGCTACTGCTCCTCGCGTCCTAGTGGCGGCCTCGGTCCCTCATCTGATGGACAATCAGTTAATCCCTTCTGATTGGCAATAGGATATAATCCCTTCTGATTGACAATCTAGACGTATCTTCTGATTGCCAAATAGAATACATAGACCACCAGGATGTGCACTGATCATTACTCGGTATAGAAGCAGTGACTGGTGTTTTAGCATGAGATAAATACAAGAAAAACTTAGCATCAGTGACGGTGTTGTAACTTGTCTCGATTTTTTTCTTTTTTCTTTTTGACTAGTGTGAATAAGTTTACCGTGCGTCCCTGAAGAGGTGAGACGCTGTGCCAATAACGATAATGGAACTAGCGGGTCGACAAGTCTTCTCCCTCCCCTCCCTCCCAAAAAAAAAAATCGTGAACATCAGTCCTCCGAGCGTACTACTATTTAGGGATGCTGACCAAAATCACGTACTATCTGAAATCTATCGTTTGTAGTATATCTCTTCTGTTCTCGTGATGGTGAAGGTGAAGGTGGTGGTGGTGGTGTACGCTCAATACAACTGGTCACTCACCATAGTATATACAAACACCCATGACGGTAACTCCACTGATGAAGACATAATATTTACCAATAAATAAATTAAATTCCTAAGTCCCACTAAAGGTCAGTACAAGACACTGGTGGGATTGAAAATGTATACATAGATAACATTGAAAAAAATACCAACCGTGAAATGACTGAAAAATAAAGTAAGCAACAGTGGTGGTAGAAAATATAAGTAAAAACTCTAATTAATGAGGAGGAAACATTTTATGAACTGGTTTTTTTTCCTTCAATTAAAGAGAATTTGAAACGACTCTTTGAAGACTCCTTACCCACCCTCTTGGTACTGACAGTAAAGAAGCAGTGTAAATCGAAAATAAAGACAGATTCTAGGGTGGGCGTAGAACCGAGACGCCCACCCTCTCTAATAACACCACTGTGAGCTATAGGAACCGGTGTCCAATCTCAAAGATTCGTACGTCACCATTTTATTTTTTCTTCTCGTAACTGAGGAACAAGACATCGCGGCTGTTTACGGTAGAGTCTTAATGAAATGTTGACGCTGGTTTGGCCATCATCATGTGTCGTCGCTAAAACTGGAATAAGTAAGATGTATCCTCACAACTTGAATCAGTAACGAAGGGGGAGGTAGGGAGAAGCTTGATTCACGAAGCTTTGAGAATCCTTGGCTTGAGCTGCTCAGGGACCACCAATTCCTCATCTTCACTAAGTGCCACGGACTCTGAGCCCTCAGGAAATGACGGAGCGTTGCCGGTCCTGATGAATGGCGGCGGTGGCGCACTTTTTTGCCCCCCCCCCGCCCCCCCCATCGTCACAACATCTGTCCTTTAGTATTGTATCTGAGGAAACACTATTATTTATTCATCATTTATATTTCTGTACAATCAGGTTGCCTTTTCTTGCATTAGTTTTTATTACACAAAGACAACTACAGATATATTTGTCTCTGAAAAAAAAAACAGTATAACCTTATCATTTAGTTTATTGTCGTGAAAATGTGGACATATTATTTGAAAATAGCAGATGCAATATTTACATTTAAGTATCACTAATTAAACACTCATTACACTGATCAGGTATTACACGACACGATGGACTAGATGCTATTTGTCACGTCATCTCATATTACCTGATAAAATTACGCATAATAATTAGCTAATAATGTAAACTCTAAGAGATATTTACATTAATTACAATACGAAAAACTAATAATTACTTAATAAATATCCAATTCATCTTCTTCTGTACGTAATCAATGAATATTCTTGTTCAAGTGTTTTTTCTGATATACAATTCTATATATGTACAAGTTTATAAATGAAAGTTTTGATACACTACGGCGATCCTTTTTCTCTGTACTTGTAATTGGCTTTTCTGAATAGTAAACATGATGGGCAGTCTCATTATGTCTCGTGTTGTTCATTTTATGTATATTTGTCTAATTACTTTCTCCAATGCTTTTTTAATCTCCTCGTCTCTTTCTCCTCATCTCTTTTAATCGTCTCACTTAATTATCTATAAAACAGTTGATTGCTTAAAAAAAAAAGTAATATCTTTCTGAAATTCTCAATATGATTTTTTTTTTTTTTGAGTAAACGTTTCCCTCTCGTCGCTGGTCACCCAAAATGTTTTATCTTTCAGCTGAGTGTCTGGTGAACCGTAATTCTGATTTACAACGTGAATTTTTCTTTATTGCTCAACTTCTCTTTAATCATTTTTAGTCTCTGCGAATCTGTTTGTCTGAGCTACGGGTCTGTTTAGTTTCGTGATTATTCATCTTTTGTTTTATATCCCAGTTTATTTATTTATGTTTTACTAATTCCTTTTAATATTTATCTCTAAATCCTTTATTTGCCTCCATTAATATTTTATAGTTTACCTTGAGGTCTATTTCGTTATATATAATTTATTTTATTCCTGATAAAAATTCTTGATAAAGTCAAGAAAATACATAAGTGTATTTCTGCATTAGATTCCACCTTAGTGTATAACGACCCCAGGAGGTAAATGAATAAGCATGACTTATTTACAACACAATCACAGAGAATTTACAATCAGCGGTACGCAGGAGGTCTTGTATTATCATGAATACCAACTGATTGTAAATATAACATGAATAACGAATTACGGGGTATTATAGATTAAGTTCTTGACATCACACCTCTGTAATTTGACGAATCATACTTAGAAACTTCATTCGGGTGTATAATAAGAAGTAGTAATTTAGGTAGAAAATACAGGTCAGGTAGATCCCAAAAGGGGACTTTGTCATCTACTAGTTGAAGGACAAATACCAAAATCGATAACAATCTTTTGTGACAGGGCTTAAATTCACACACACACACACACACACACACACACACACACACACACACACACACACACACACACACACACACACACACACACACACACACACACACACACACACACACACACACACACACACACACACACACACACACACACACACACACACACACACACACACACCACATCTCTCAAAATAAGAGATTAATCCGTCGCTATATTTGGATATGCCTCAAGGTGGAGTGTTGTGGGTTGGGGCAAAGATGAGTGTTTGTGAATTTGGGGAGAGTAAACTGACAGTGTAATAGCTCTTGCTTGGTTGAGGTTAATAAGCAAACACTGAGCTCATGATTGCTTGCCGCCGGGGTGGCCAGATCGCAGCTGGGTGAGTAGGTGGGAGGAGGTGAATGGACAGGTACATGGGAGGCGTGGGTAATGGTGTGGGTGAGTACATGGTGGGAGGGATAAGTGGGTGGATGAGTACGAGGGGGGTTTTGAGTAGGGGGTTGTTATGTGTGGATTGAGTGAGTGTGTCAGTACGTAATTAAGGGAAAAGTGGATGACTGGCTGACAAGGAGGAGTGAGGAGGTGGATGAATGGATGAAATACCATGTGAGTTAGTAAATAAGTCGGTGATTAAACAGGTTTGATGAGTCGATGAATAAGCAAACTAATGAGTAGGTGGGAGGATGGGAAGTAAGTGGATGAGTGTCTGAGTGACTGGCTGAGTGACTGGCTGAATGACTGGCTGATTGACTGTTTGAATGACTGGCTGGATATGTTAATTGGATGGACAACTGACTAACTGGATGGCTTGGTCTTCTGACTAACTGGATGGTTAACATATTGATTGCTAGGCTCGTTAGTTGACTGCTTTTATGCATTGCTAGTTGGCCCGCTGACTGACTTACTAGCTAGATAACTGGAAATAATAATAATAATAATAATAATAATAATAATAATAATAAACATCTACTTGTCAACAGAAAATGGCGATCACTCAAAAAAAATCACCAACTTCTATATTTAAAAGGAAAGTAAATATATATTTACCCCAAGATGATTCTGTCTACTTTGATCTATTACAACGTGAACTGTCAAAGAAAAGCATTAGGAAAAAAAGTAATTGTGAATTATGACAGTCCTCAGAGGGTAGTGAGGAGGGTGTGTGCGTGTCATCTGCTATATTTACCTACCAATGTCTCAGTGCTGGTATTCGTGAGTTGGTGCCTCGAAGCTGGAACATATTTCTTATTTATTTTTATTTTATTTTTTTTATTTTTTTTTTGGGGGGGGGGGACGACTCACCTTTCATTAATTTCCTGTTTTTATTATTCTTAGTACATGTGTCTTTAATCATCGCCCTAATGTTTTTTATTCCAATCGTTTACACGTAGTGATTTTTTTCTTACATTTTCTTTGTTAGACGAGTATTGTAATATAAGAATTCGTTTACCTATTTTTGTTTGCAAGTTCGAGCGTCCGTCTGTGTGACTGAGTTAGCTGTCCGGTAAAATGCATCGCTTCCCTAACGTAATCTGAATTTCCTTTGACAAACACATTTTCTTTTCATGTTCCACCTGAGTAATGACACACTACATAATGCACACACCAGGTCCGGTTATCAGATTGGAAGTGTGTAAAAGCAGCAGAGGATTTGGAAGTCATCTACAGATACATTCTCATTTCAACAAGTAAAGGTAAAATTAGTTTGAAAATACTTGAAAATACTTGAAAATCCGTCTTTGAGGTGTAACTTAAGATGAGTTTTCAGTTCACCTGTTACATTAAACTACTAACGTGTAAACCTTTATTATCACCATCGATACAAACCAAACGTTAGCCAGTTTATCATTACAAGTTTTTGAAAAAAATCCCTTACGTATGTTTCATGAATCCATTTTTGTCCCTCAACTAAATTTAGCCAATAGAATGTTTACTCATATCCACACTTACGAGAAAAAAATTAGCCTATAAATACCTAAGACCAATTTTTTTTTTTGTACCATAGCTAAGTTAAGGGAAAAAAAATAAACTTCCGCGCAAATATCATTCATTTTTAACCCTGTACCT